GCTAAAAACTATATTTTTTAGGCTTTAGACCGTTCGATCTTGGAAATAGTTATTAACAAATATACGTCAAAGAGTATCTGGGACTCGATGAAGTAGAAGTATGTAGGAACAACACGAGTAAAGCGTGCTCATCTGTAGGTTTTGCGAAAGGAGTTTGAAATTGCTCATATGAAGGAAGGAGAATCTGTGAACGAGTACCTTGCCCATGTTCTTGTCATCACCAACAAGATGAAAGTCAATGGTGAAGATATGAAGGATGTTGCTGTTGTGGAAAAGATCATAAGGTTAATGACACCAAAGTTTAATTATGGTGTGTGTTCCATTGAAGAATCGAAGGATACGAGTGTGTTGTCAATTGATGATTTGCATAGTAGCTTGCTCATGTATGAACAACGCATGAATAATACTGTCCATGAAGAACATGCTCTGAAGGTGACTCATGGAAGCCAATCTTCTGGCAGAGGAAGAGGGCGTGGAAATTTTGGAGGTAGATGACATGGAAGAAGCAAGCAAAGTATTGATAAAGCAACTGTAGAATGATATGATTGTCACAAACTTGGACATTTTTAGTGGTAATGTAAGAAAGGAATGAAAAATTTTGCAGAGAGTCCAGCGAAGAGTGATGAGCACGTGTTGTTGATGGCTTATGTTAAAGAAAATGAGCAGCAAAAAATAGATATGGGTTTCTCGACTCTGGCTGCAATAACCACATGTGTGGAAAAAAGAAAAAAGAGTATTTTTCCGAGCTTGATGTAGACTTCTCTGATTCTATGAAGCTGGGAAATAATTCTAACATGATGGTTAAAGGGGAAAGGTAACATCAGGCTGGATATTAATGGTGTTATTAACATCATCTCAGAAGTTTTTTATGTTCTAGAATTGAAAAACAATTTGTTGAGTCTGGGATAGCTGCAAGAGAAGGGGTTGACCATTTTGTTTCAGCAAGGGCAATGCAAAATATATCACCCTGACAAAGGTTTGATTATAAAATCTAATATATCTGCAAATAGGATGTTTATTTTGCTTGTTATCTCTTTGCCTGCAACATCCACTTATTTTAACATAAATGCAGAAGATGTAGCACACCTGTGACATTGCAGGTTTGAGCATTTAAGCTTTAAAGGCTTACAAATCTTGCAACAAAAAGAGATGGTGGAAGGTCTACCGCTGCTTTAGTCGCCCTCAAAGCTATCCAAAGATTGTCTTGTGGGGAAACAACATCGAGACTCATTTCCAATGAGAAGTTCTTGGAGAGCATCAGAAATTTTGCAGCTTGTTCATGCTGACATTTGCGGACCAATTAAGCCAGCCTCGAATAGCAAGAAAAGATATTTAATTACTTTTATTGATGATTTCAGCCGAAAAACATGAGTTTATTTTTTGGTTGAAAAATCACAAGCGTTTACTATTTTCAAAAGCTTCAAGATACATGTTGAAAAAGCAACATATGCCTCTAAAAAGGCTATGTACGGATCGTGATGGAGAGTTTATATCTCGAGAATTCAACAATTTTTGCAATGAGTATGTAGTGGAAAGACAATTAAGAGCTGCATATTCTCTGCAACAAAATGGTGTAGCAGAACGAGAATCAAACCATCATGAATTTGGTTCGTAGCATGTTATCTGAAAATATAGTACCCAAAACTTTCTGGCCAGAAGCAGTAAATTGGGACGTGCATGTCTTAAACCATAGTCCAACACTAGAGGACAAAACACCAGAAGAAGCTTGGAGCGGACAAAACACCAGAAGAAGCTTGGAGCAGATACAAGCCATCAATTCAACACTTCAGAATTTTTGGTTCTATTTCCTATGCTCACGTACCTGATAACTCGAGATCTAAACTAGATGATAAAGACTTGAAATGTGTTCTAGTCGGAATCAACGAAGAATCAAAGGCATATAGGCTTCACGATCCTATCTTACAAAGGATCGTAATAAGTAGAGATGTGGTTTTCGAAGAAAGTGAAGAATGGGAATGGGGCAAGCAACATGAGTCATAGATTATATGTGAGCTGGAATGTGAAGATGATGAAAAAGTTGTCATTGAAGAATCTCATACAGAAGACATTTCTAATGCACAAGCTGAGAAATCTCATGCTGATACAGAACCAGAGGGGTCTCTTGCTACTAATCAAGAGACTGTTCTAAGTCATGTGGAAGGGAAGATCAATAAGCAATTAGTTTGGCTAAGAGATTACATATTCGATGAAGGTTTGTCTGATGAAGAGGTTGTGTTTTACTCAGCAGTCTTTGCCATGTATACTGTTGATGCTGATCCACTTAATTTTGAAGAAGTTGTGAAGAGTGCAAGATGGAGAAATGCCATGGATGTTGAGATTGAGGCGATTGAGAAAAATGACACATGAGAATTAAATGATCGACCAAAATGAGCTAAAACAGTTGGAGTAAAGTGGGTCTATAAGACTAAACTTAATGAAAAGGGAAAAATTGACAAGTTTAAAGCAAGGCGGGTAGTGAAAGGATATTCTCAGAAATATGGTGTTAATTACACATAAGTATTTGCTCTGGTAGCTTGTATGGAGACTGTGCGATTGGTGATTGCCTTTGCAGCACAAAAAGGGTGGGCTATATATCAATGAGATGTGAAGTCTGATTTTTTACATGAAGAACTGGTTGAGGATGTCTTTGTTGAGCAGCCTTATGATTACATTCGAAAAGGAGAAGAGGAAAAGGTGTACAAGTTAACAAAAGCTCTTTATGGGCTTAAATAAGCTCCACATGCTTGGTATAGTTGTATTGAAGCATATTTCATCAAGGAAGGTATTAAAAAATGTGAGTATGAGCATACCATTTTTGTTAAAAGAAACAAAGAAGATAGTATGCTCATTGTAAGTTTATACGTTGATGACCTTCTATTTGCGGAAAATGATAAGTTAATGTTTGCTGAGTTTAAGAATTCGATGATGCTTGAGTTGACATGACCGATCTCGGTAAAATGAAGTATTTTTTTGGTCTTGAAGTTTTGCAGAAATCTAGTGGAATCTTTCTTTGTCAAAGAAAGTATGTTGAGGAGGTGTTGCAGCGTTTTGGGATGGATCAAAGCAACTCAGTTCAAACTCCATATGTTCCTGGGTTCAAGGATTTGCAAGGATGAAGAAGGTACAAAGGTGGATAAAACAAATTTCATGCAAATAGTGGGTTGTCTCATGTATCTCACCTCAACTTGTCCATATATAGTGTTTGTTGTCGGTCTTTTAAGCAGGTATGTGGAGAATCCTACTCGGCTTCATTTACAATTAACAAAACGGGTGCTCAGGTATTTACATGAAACAACTCAGTTTGGAATTTTCTAAAAGAAGGGAGGAAGCAATGAACTTATAGCATATACTGATAGTGATTATGCTAGTGACCGGATGATAGAAAAAGTACAACTGGAAATGTCTTCCTTTTTGGCTCTGGAGCTGTATCATGGTGTTCTAAGAAACAACCAATGGTAAGTTTGTCAATTACAGAAGCAAAATTCATCGCTGTGGTATTATGTTCCTGTCAAGCTATTTGGTTAAAAAGGTTGCTCATGACACTTGATCAAACATAGCAAGAGTCAATAACTATCCAATGTGAATGCAGTTCTACAGTCAAGTTATCAAGCAATCTAGTCATACATGGGCATAACAAGCATATAGATGTTCGTTTTCACTTTCTTTGAGAGCTTGCACATGCATAAGTGATAAAACTGATTCATTGTAACACTACAAAATAGATTGCTGGTGTAATGACAAAACCTCTCAAACTTGATTTTTTCTTGAAGCTGCGAGCAATGCTTGGAGTATGTGCAGAGGGCAATATAAACTAAGTTCTTTGTGTTTAACAATTTAGGTAAGGGAGGAATTGTTAGGAATTAGTCAAATAAAATCCTAATTTATTTGGGACTGTTTGCTCTAGAATATGACTTAATTAGCTAATTAGAAGTTTGTTAGCAGTGAACCCCTTASCTATCGTAATTTTTGTTTTGCGAATTCCATAATCTTTCTCTTTCTTTTAAATACTTTACTGTTAATCTCAACAAGTAAGACCTGTTTGGAAGTGGTTTTTTTACGGTTAAAATCATTTTCATTAATGTCAAGATTATATCTATTCTAAAATAGACATATTTTGATAACAATTCTGAAGTGATATTGAAAAAATCCAAATAATCACAAGTAATTTTTTACGAACAAATTAGTAAAAAAAATTAGTTTTTAAAATGGTTATTGTTTTAAATTTCAAATTTATCAAGAAAATGTTTATTTTTTCCTTGTAAAATTTTTATCTCTCTAACTTTATTTAATTTTAGTTTGGTTTATTCCATCTAATTTTTTCCCCTTTAAAATTTGTGTGATCTCTCTAAATGTTTAGTTCTCATATTTTATGAATTTATTTCTCTATCTAAATTTGAGGTATCACTCTCTAAAATTTCTCTCTCTAATATTTTTATTTTTCTAAAACTTCGGTCAAATTCTATTTTTAAACTTCAAATATTAATCATTCAAATCACTATTAATTATATAAAAAATTACTTTGAAATTATAACCAAACTTTAAAATAATTATATAAATCATTTTCACAAGATATGTCATTAAATTTCTGTGGCTAAAATGACTCATTCTAAAATTATTTCTAAACATGTCTTAAATTTATCGGATAAAATGAATGAAGACCCATATCAGCCTCAACATAAATCAAACATGATAAGAAAAATAAAGAGTAATACCGAACACATATATTCCTTAAAAATATTGGGGAAAAAAAAAAGAAAGAAAAATGTGACCAAATTCCCTTTTTTTTTTTTTTTCCTTTTCTTTTGCATGTAAGCTCAATAACTATGAACATGCAAGTGGCCCAATGAGTTTTGAAAATCTTCAATTATTAATGTCTATCATATAATACAACATTTAATTTGGAAATAAAATTCAAAGTTCCATACATTGGAAACTAAAAGTATTCAATCAAAAGATAATATAATACACAACACATCAATTGGTCAAAAGAACAATGAAGGCTTAAGAGAGAGAGAGAGAAAAAGACAAGGAAATGAAGGAGCCTAAGCTTTATTCTTCAATACAAATACAATAATAATAATACTATTTGGCCAAATGTCCCATTGATAAGTCATCTGGGTGTGTTCCCAATTTTCAAATGGGAAGAATCAGCTGCTTGCCCGAGTGTTAAGAAGCAGCTCCCGTCGATTCAGGGCGACGCTTTTGCATGGTGTTCATTAAATTAACATTTTCTTTTTCTCCATTTCGAGCCTTGTGAATTTCCATCTGTTTCTTTGTTTCTTTCTGATCGCTTTTTTGGGCTGAAACCCGACCTGATTTTGTGGTGGTTCAAAGCACTAGGCCATTGGAATGTGATGCTGAATCTTATTTTTGTCTGCCTGTTTCTGGGTATATAAGGTGTTTGTGAAAATGTCGCAGAGAGAATTTTCCTTGGAAGGGACGTTTTTTGTTTTGAAAAACAGGGCTCTTTGATTCTAGTCTGGTTGAAAGAGGATTTTGAGGGCTTTTTTTTGGGGGGAGTGGAGAAATGGAAAAGGGTTACTGTTCAGGTTGGAAATATGGTTCGATTCATGGGCTGAAGAATGTGGAGGAAGATGAAGAGCTGAAAATGGTGTCATCTTTGCCTTCAATTCCTCAGCCTCAGACTCCACAGGAGCCTATGGAGTTCTTGGCAAGGTCTTGGAGTCTCTCTGCTTCTGAGATTACAAAAGCTCTTGCCCAAAAGCAGAAACAACTTTACATTGAGAGGAGCCCCATCACAATTCCTGAGGCCATTGTTGCCCCACAACTCGTAAGTTTTCTTCTCATATCCATGCTAAATTATGAAAATGATGTTGAAACTACTGTTCGTCAAACTTAAAAGCTTAACCGGACAGGTTACGATAAATTTAATCTTTTATTCATATTCTTAACCCTCTTCGGTTGTGGACTTGAAATATTAATTGGGAAAGAAACAATATTACAAAGATTCAAATACAGGATCATAGGTTCCGATACCGTGTGAAACTATTATTGAACCTAAAAGCTTAAGTGGATAGGTTATGGTAAATTTAATCCTTTATTTATATTCTTAGCAGAATATAGAACATAAGCACAAAAAAATTCAAGATCATAAATGCTTTTCAGCTCTGGTTTTGTGTTTTACCAAATGTTTTTATGCTGAACGTTTGTTCTCTTTCTTTTGTACAGCCAGGAAAGATTGTGAGTTCTGTCCATGCTTGGAGGGTGGGATCATTTGGAAAATGGTTTCACTTTCACCACAAGGAGGCTGGTAATAGCATTGTCAAAAAGAAGGATAGAGCAAGAATTGAAAATGCTCGTGTCCATTCTGCATTATCTGTGGCTGCTCTTGCTGCGGCCTTGGCTGCTGTGGCAGCAGCTGAAAACCCCGGTGGCTCTGATTCTAAAATGGGCATGGCTTTGGCCTCAGCTACTGAGATTTTGGCATCTCATTGCATAGAGATGGCTGAATTTGCTGGAGCTGACCACGAGCGAGTTGGTTCAGTCATCAGATCAGCAGTTGATGTTCAGAGTTCGGGTGACCTCATGACTTTAACAGCTGCAGCTGCCACAGGTACTTGCTCTATCTTTTTGGTTCTTCAGCAGCAGTTTAAGTAGTTTTATTTTGGATGAGCAATATGGATAAACTGTCCATATTGAGTTCCTGCAAGTTGGAAGAAATGATATGAAAATGATTAAAGGCTCTTTCATTTCTTAATCATCTATCTATTGGTTTGTCTTTATCTTAATATTGTTTATTTTCTCTCGTATTTCTGTTACTAAATCAGCCTTGCGAGGAGAAGCAGCTTTCAGATCGAGATTGCCAAAGGAAGGCCGAAAGATTGCTTCTGTGAGCCCTTACGATAGGATAATGGCTCAAAATCATTGGGCTACTGCTTTTAATAGCCATATGGAGGAGCAGGAACTTCCCTGTGTAGGTGAATTACTGCAATTTACGCGAAAAGGTACGGTTTTTTTCACAAAGATTGCATCGCGCTCGCTATTAGATTATTGATTTCTACTACAACTTCCAAGTTTAGGCTTCACGTTGGGTTCGAAACATAACAAGATATGTTGAGTCAACTGATATTGCTCATGTTGTAGAGTAAATTTTGTACACAAACTGTTTGGATTCTTGCTTTTGTATTCTTCAACTTTGGCTGATTGATTTGAAAGAAAATAAATGAAAACATCTTGGGGTAGTCGAGGCAATTATTCAATGGTTTCGATCCGGTTAACTTATCTCAATCTAGAAACAGAACTTTCACAATAGACTTCTGGTTGAGCTGCTCAATCTAACCCACCTCTTGTTTTTACTAACAGGAACCCTGAGATGGAAGGAGGTCTCTGTCTACATCAACAAGAAGTCTCAGGTAAAAAATTTCAAACTTAGGCAAAGACGATTGATTTGTCTGAGAAGTCGTATAAACCATAGAACTGCTATCCAAACTCGATATATTGAATATGAGCTATGATTTCAGGTCATATCATCAATCAAAAGCAAACACGTCGGAGGGACATTTTCCAAAAAGAACAAATGTATGCATCTTACATTGCATCTTTACTTCAGTATTCTTCATCCTATTTGTCATCTAGAAAAACGACTCGTTCTACTTCTAACCATCTAGGTGAATCTGTGCTTCTGTTGGGCTCTACTAGGTGTTGTTTATGGGCTCTGCGACGAAACGTCTTCATGGCCATATGAACGAAAGAGAGACGTCTCGAGCGAGGTCTATTTCGGCCTGAAAACCGCACAAGGTCTTCTCGAGTTCAAGTGCAAGAACAAGATCCATAAGCAGAGCTGGGTTCAAGGGATCCAAAGTCTTCTTCATCGAGTTAACTGCATCTAGACGACAAGAAGGTCGCTACAGATTTTGCGTTTCAGTGATAGTATATAGACTAATTGTGCATTTGGTATAAAATAAGCATATGTAAATGAGTTATCAGTGCCAAAGTTGTGTAAACTTGAGATGAAATTTGTTGTCAGTGTGCATAAAATCTTAGTATATGTATGAGAATGTTACAGACAACTCAATTTTTAAGTATTTGCTAAACCATAATAATAGAAAGGAATGGAAATTTCTGTTAGTTTACGACTAGTTAATGTGTATATGGGTGAATGAGTTATTTGATATTATTCTTCTAAGTTCTAACAACTCTTGACTTGGTAATTTTGGTGAAGGAAAATGCAATTTTTCATGCAGGGGATTACATTTCTATTCACCTATTGACATTTTTATAATCAACAAAGTATCATCCAGATAAAGATAATATTAATATTAATGATAGTGAACTGTTTATTAAATTAAATATTTGTTTTATTTTTTTAATAAATTTTTTAAAAATATCTAATCCATCAACATCACATTTGAAACATTTTTTCTTAGGATCTAGTTGGTTCTCAATTCGGATTTTTTAATCCTCTAATCTGAATAGCGAAAATTCTGAAACAACATTTTTATGTTTTTATTATTCAGATTTTGAATTTAAAATTTGAAAATGCATAATTATATTAAAGATTGATTCAACTTTGATAAGTATATTATTTCATGTAAACTTTTTTTTTTGGTTAAAATAACATGTAACATATAATGTATTATAGCCCGTTTGAGCTAGAAATGGACAAGCTCGGAAGAAGTGTAGGTCGGAGTGAATGGAACGATCTCTCTGAGCCGTCGAAGAACCTCCCTGAGCCCTTGAAGAACCTGCAAAATAATGTTAGTACTTCGACGAGCAAGTTAGCTCTTTATTCGATCTAATTGTCTTGGTGAAAAAGGATTCGTGTATCTTGTACGAAAGGCAAGTGTCTTTATTTATAGAGATTGGACCCAACAGGAATTCTAACACCGCCTAAAAACGCGATGTGTTGTCGGATTTAGGAAACACTGTTTTGGATACACCTTTAGGTCGGCTCGTCCAACTCAGATCGTGCCATGTGTTCCGACCTGAATGGACTTGAGCAGATTGTTATATTTTAAAAAGGGTTCTAATTTAAGTGCCTTTACGATGCTGACATGTGGCGGGACGAAATCTGCGTCCAATATAGTTAAAGCGACCATAGCATAGCAGTAATTGGCATATATCTCAAACCAGGAGATTGTGAGTTCGATCCCCCGCCCTCATATGTTGTACTAAAAAAACATATAATATATTCTAAATTATATAATATTGTAAAATAATAATTATACAAATTTTATTAAAAAATGTAAATAAATTGATTAATATTAATTGAACTAAATATTTAGTTGTTAACTACCACTGGTTTACAAATATATTACTAAACAGAACAATTTTTTTAAATTGACATTCTATTTTCAAATCTACTACGGAAATATATATTTGAAAACACTGAAAACAAATAATAAAACATTATTTTTCATTTAATCCCTTATTTTTAGAATTTTGTTTCCATATTACTAATCAAATGCACCCTTGATTTTATTTTTTCCGTCTACTTTTCAACATTTTATAATTTATGAGTGAGAATATTTAGTAACACATATATTATATAATAACGTACAATTACGGACATGTGAAAAATATGTGTTGTAGGAGAAATTTTGGTTCATAAATCGATGAATCAAATTATGTCACGTGTCTCTCTTATGGCCGTTTGATGAAATCAACTAATTAGACCAGTCCCAGATATTGGGCACAAGCCCATTAAACCCATGGCCTACATAAGACTCACCAAAACTTTATAAATAGAGAGGGTCACATCTAACAAAGGATCTAAAAGAATTGAAATTTAGAGCCCTCAATGCATTTAGAGTTGTCTACAATTATTGAATCAAGCGAAACATCAGAAGCTGACGAGAGACTTCAAGAATATTGAATCTTCTCTTCGTCAAACAACAAGGCTTGAAGCCGAAGACTCCATCAAATTACAAATTCTTCATCAAACTTCAAAGCTGAAGAACTTTATAAGCTACAAGTCGAAAAACTTCAACAAAGTGCATAGTTAAAGAACTTCACAAGCTGCATAGCTGAAGAACTTCAACAAGTCAAAAAACTTCGTCAAGCAATGAGTCGAAGACTTTCACAAATTGCAAATTCCATCAAGTTACAAATTTCGCCAAAGAATCTAAAGAACTTCAACAAGCGCATAGTTAAAGAACTACAATAAATTGAAAAACTTCACAAATTACAAGTCGAAGAACTTCGTCAGGCTCAAAGCCCAAGATTTCAAAGATTTTTCGACAAGCAAGAAGCATAAAGCATCAACCTTATTAATTCAAGAACAAACTCACAAGCCCTTGAATTAAAATTTGCAGGATAATTTATCAGAAAATTATACATTGGAGATTGTACACTATAGTGACATTACCATTAAAATTCATGATCGAAATTTATCCCAACCGACTTAATTGAGACTTTTTAAAATTATTTTATTTTAGTTAAAGGTGAAAAAATACATCGAGTCTTTTTATTTGTCTTTTCATCTTTTAGTCAAATTTATTTTCATTGAAGTAACCATTGAGTTTATAAACTTTAATTTTTATAATGGTTTAATTTATAAACTTTTAAATTCTATACAATTTAGCCTCTCAAAGTTAAAAAGATCTAATTAAATATTAACAAATTTTTTCATGATGGGATTAAATCACTACAAATTTTAAACTATAAAAGATAAAACTAATACATACCAATTTAATAACTAAATTATTACCAAAAAAAATCTAAGAATTAAAATTGAAATAGACGACCAACAATATTTTTTAACCTTTGATTTAAAATTCCCAATCATTATAATTAAGTATAATTTTTTAAGTTGAAAAATAAATTAGAACACTAAACATAAAATGGAGAAGTCTATAAACCGGTCGCCGATCCTTTACTAAGATCCCCGGCTTCCATCTCCTGCGCTGCTCTCTCTCTCTCCCTCTGTTCGACAGATGCCTGTAAGTCTTTACAATTTTAAGATCCAGATCTTGAAATACAACAATTACATCTCTAATTTCTAGGGTTTTATTTTGTAAATTGTTGTTGAATCTTCTGCAATTGAAATTGTGAATTTCTGATCCGTGAAAGATGATTGCGTTGGTTGCAGTTCAGCACGTTCATAGAAGTGGAACCGCCCAGTCCACTCCGGTACATAATTGGGGCCGTTGTAATGATGATCGGAGTCGTATTGCCCCTCGGATACATGATGTTCCGTAACAAGCGCGGGCCTTCTTCTTCTTCTTCCTACTCCAAACAGACGTAGGTGTGCCTATGAATTTTACTTTGTTTTGATTGTTCTTTGTCACTCTTTTAGTTAATTTTTTCTTTCCTCTTTGCGTTCCGCGTTAGCTGTCAAATTTCAATCGTCCCTGTGAATCCGGTATTGTCTGGGAGATCGAGGTGGTTCAGTTTTTGTAGGAAGTGGGGATTTATTCTTTAATTGATCAATATTCTTGACATGAACTATGAACTTTCGGAGCTGGGCATTACTGGGCGAAGTCGGGATTGGGTACAATTAGTAGTTTTTCATTAGGATTTTGGGCAAATTCACGAATGAGGTTTTGGTGCAACCTTCGTCTAAAAGGTGAAGGGAATTTCTCGTTGCACGCCAAAAGAGTGATTATTAGTGTATAGGAGAGAAGAAAGCTTAGCTCGACGAGGCCCTCGCTTTCTTAGATGGATCCCCCTTAATGATTACTTTTCTTTAGGCTCTCTCCATGGAGAACTTCATGTGGAATATGAGAAATCTGGCTAATGTTCGTGATCATAAACGAGTTTTCTGAATAGAGGTAGATTGAGGGTGGGATATTCGAGTAAAATTAGTATTTTCGATGGCCATCATATTGAGTTTTTCATTGATGTATCAAATTTACAAAAGGAGGGGAAACGAGAGCCCCAAAAGCCAAAGGATTTACATGAGAATCCCCAATTGGTCAATAAAGATACAAAATTATAGGAATGTAAAAGAGTTGACAATTTATACCATGATATAACATGAAAGATAATAGTTTGAAAAGCCCATCAAAAGATTGCTCTTTTCCAACCAAGAGCCTTTGATTTCTTTCATCCCAAGTTGTTCGAAAGAAAGCTCCAACGATGTTCATTAAAGGTAACTTCTTTTCCTTCTTGGATGGTTGAGCCTGCAACTATGTAGGAGAGGAGACACTTTAAATCAAGTGGCAAGATCACCAACCACTTGAAGTGTTAGATGATCTCATTCCAAAACTTGGAGATAAATGAGCAAGTGTGGAAGACATGTTCTTGAGATTCTGCATCCCTGAATGGGACATGGTGATAGTTTCGGTGGATGTATTTAGTCATTCGTCTCACAAATATTTGGACTTCTTTTATGAAATTAAAATAACCCCGTGTGATAGAACATCATCTTCTCCTTCCCTTAGACATAGACATCCCTCCTCTCTCTCTTCCATTCACTACATAAGTTCATTGTCTCCGGTACCTCCCATAATAGCATTGCCCTCATAATGGAATGGCAATGGCAAAAAATGGGAGGCAACTGATGGAGAGGCATAGTGTGGGTGGGATTTCATCTTCCTTTCTCAGTGGTTGTGAAGAGTAGAACACATGCAATTTGCAAAATGTAATATGTACTGATAGAATATGTCACCTGTGCTTTTAGATGAACCGAGACATATATAAGAGCTGTCATTGGTTTAACACCTTTACATATCTCTATTTGTAGGCGAACTGCACAATTTATTTGACCACTGCCCCTCATGTACCTCTTGGTCTATTTAACTCCCTGTTACTTTTCCTTCTGAAATTTTATTCCTTGCTTTTTTTATTTCTGAATCTAACTTCGTAAGAAACTGTACATGTAAGATGCACATGTTATCCATGTAAGCATCTCATAGCTCATAAACACAGAGTTCTCTCTTTCTCTATGGAGGAGCATCTTCTTGGGTTTCTGAGGGAACAAGATTCTCCTGTGTTGGACGCTGGAAGGTTATTTCATGATTCTTCCCACCCTAAGGACTAAGATATTCCGCTCCTATCTCTGTGAATTGAGAGCTATACACGTAAACATCATATGCCTAAACATTCCATAAGTTCGAAAAAAGGACTAAAATGTAGTTTAGAAAAGGGGAGTGCAAGACTTGCTTGTGTTGCATGCAAAGCATATAGAAGGCTTAGGAACATGTAATTGGGTTTGATATTTTGTTGAGCATTTATGTTTTAGTCTAATAAGCAACACTAATGGGAATTCTGCAATTTGGAATTTCAGGACCAAGTTTTGATTTAGTTGCATAGAGGAAGAGAAGCTTCGATTTCGGTTTTGGGCTTAGCTAATGGAGGATGTTATTCAAAGGGTAATGTAAATGCATTGAGATTTCAATTTTCTGTGGAAATTGACATGATTACAGTCCAACTATTAACCTTAAGCGATGCATTTGGTTGTCGCTTTTTCTCGAAATCAATGCCATTCAACTGTATTTTGTCATTTATATTACTGAAGAAATCTTGTGTGATTATTGTCTGACCCAAATTCAGCGTTATGAAGATACGACCACTGAGGCATGAAATTACTCTTTGTTAGTCCTTTAGGTTCTCATTCTCTTAGTGACTTCGAATTGAAAAGTTTGTAAGTTTTGTGTAATTGTTATTAATTTCAACATTCTAAAATGAGAATCCATCACCATCAAGCCCAAGCATGTCAGGAGACCTCGGAAGAGGCTTTCTGGAAAACTTAAGTTCTTGAAAACTGATCAATTTTCTTTAATTGTACACTTAGAATCATATTTGCAGCCAGCATCATCGTAGAATGAAAAATGTGCAAACTATTATCACAAGGAATGCAGAAATGACTGTTTACAAAAAGGTTGAAAAAGAGAAATCAAAGCTGACTCATGGTAATATACTTCTCGTTAGAATTGTATATCAGTAGGGAAACAGGCAAAGAACTCCTTGAATAAGGCCAGTTCTTGTAAGAATCATGCCCACCTTCCCAGTGCTTCTCCAGCATGTACCCGGTCTCCACGTTTAATCGAAAACTTGAATTCCGACTTGGAGTCCCCATTTTTGTGTAGATTAGAAACAGGAGCCTGGAAGATGAGTACCACCGTTGATCCCATGTTGAAAGCCGCCATCTGCAAGCATTTTCCACACACCAAAGTAGTTAAACTAAAGAACCAATGAAGTCAAGCCGCAAATCTAAGACACAGGATGTTATTACGTTGAAGCTTTTGATTGTTTTAGACATAAATTCAACTTGCCCTTGGTTGTTTTTGCGACTAATCTGGCCGTAGGATCTCAATAAGAAACCAATTGTCATGATGTTTGAAAGTTTGCATTTGGATGTCGATAGGTGATGAAAAGTAATAAAGTTCTAGGGATGCAGATGAATGTTTGGGAAAATATGTCAAAACCTTTGGCTGATGATTATTCAAGTTAATCTGCACAAAGTTTTAGGAAGTTCAAATATGACATTTTTTCCCCCAATCAGTAGAGTTTGGACCAGCTTGTGCATCTTAAAATTGATTTAACTGGTAAAATATTTAAGATCGTTGTTTTCATCCATGACCTTGAAGACATCTGACAAATTTATGGTCTCATATTCTCCAAATTGCAGCTTAATGGAAGAGTTCACTTAGTTTTCTTGCCCGAAGAAAAAAAGAAGGGAGAAGAAAATTTTCTATCATAAAATTCAGAAATAGGGTTCACAGCATTCATACCTCGTCTCCCTTCTTTAGCATTATCCCCACACCTTCAGGTTCATATACCCTTTCCTCTGGAGGCTCTGAATGGAGTGACTTTTTCTTTGGATTGTTCGTCTGTAGCTCTGGCTCAATGTAAACCTGACACATCCAAGTTAAAGGGTCAAGACCAAAGAATTTACACAGGAAGAATGTGTACTCTGTTACCTACTTTTATCTATACTCAGTAGTGGCTAAAGGCGCCAAAGCGTGCATAGCTCAGTAATAATTGAAATGTATTTTCAATCAAGAAGTTGTGAGTTCGATTCCCCACCCTCACCTCCACTCTCACCCCCACTCCAACCCCTACAAGTGGCTCAAGGCATATCTTCTGCCGATAATTTACGAGCCAAAACCAATCTACTAAAGAACAGCATTGACATCATATATGTTTTCAGCTCCACAAACCAATTATTTTCCTTCTTAGTTAGGTTTCCATGTAATCGAGTTCATAGTTGATCAATTAGGTAGGTTTTCTAAGGGCCCATTTGATAACGTTTTTATTTCTTGTTTCTGTTTTTTATTTTTATTTCTTATTTTAATAAAGAAAAATAGAATTACACGACCCTAACACCCATAGGCTTAATAATGATAAAATAATATTTTTATTTATGTTTTGAAACAAATTGGAAATTAAAACAAAAAACAAAAAAATTATTTGGATTGTTTCATGAGAATGTTTCTAAAAAATGAAAAACAAGAAACATAAATAGTCAAATGATTAGATTTCTTAAATAATTGGTAATGGAAAAAAAAAAAGAAACAAGAAAGTTTGAGTTACCAAAAAGGCCTTAATATCRTTGTCTCTTGTTTCTCATTTCTTTCATCTTAATAAAGAAAAACAAAACTGTAGTAGGTAACCGTTCTTTGTTTTTTGTTATTAGTTTTATTCTTGATCTTTACAATTTTAAATTAAAAAAAAAAAGTAAAAGTTTAATATGAAAATTAATTTTTTAATTAAATATTTAAAATTTTTACATTTTATTTATTTTTAAAATATTTATTATACATTTATAAGTCAAAAATTATAAAGGAACTAGATACAAGAAACTTGATTTCAGTGTTTCCAAAATAACGTTTATTAAATAAAAAACAAGAAACGAAAACTTTACTGACATAGACTTATCAACTTTAAGTAGAAGCAAAATTACCTCGATAGATCCAATATTTGTTGCCCCAATTGCAGCAATGGCCATAAATCCTTCCTGCCATAAACCTTCGAGCACAACCTACAACATGCCAATAATAACTTAAGGAACCCCTTAATGCTTGTGAAAAATGAAATTTGGGATCGTAATTTTAAAAATAATTTTAGAAAATTTATAAATTTCTCTCAAGGGGATGAGGTTTGTAGGATTTCGATAGCAGATTCGAAGAAATAAAGCAAATTCATTACGGTACAGACTAGTTAGTAAAGCAAGCAGTTCTACATACTTTCACCTTCTCGTAAGGAAATAAAAAAAGAAGAGAAACAGGCTACGTACCCTTTCATTCTCAACATATAAATTTCTGATTGTTCTAACAGCACGCTCATTCATAGGAAATAGATGACCTGCAAATTATAGTATGAAATGGAATCACTAATCAGAGAGTCGATGAATAGAAGTTTTTCCTTTCCAATTGAAAACCAACTTTCGTTAAAAGAAACGAAAGAGAGAACCAGGCTGAGATACAAAGATCAACAACGCCATGAGAATCACATTTTGTTGTTCAAAACATAAACTACCTGAAAAATGGCGCCGAACTAGAACCTGCCAGTCAACTGGTGAATGTATACGATGGTAATCTCCAGGCTTTAAGTATATTACACAGTAGAAAAGGCCTTTGACTGGGCTGTAACAAAAATTTACAATGTAGATCAGTTAACTGTCAGTGTCACATGGCAAGACCATCACAATGAATCATGACTAGCATTGTTTTCCAGAAGGTTAAAACTTCAACAAATATTAAGAGTTTTCACATTGCATTTCATGGCTTTATATATAAAATGCATCCCTAACTATAAATCACCGGAAGGGATGTTGGGGGAGGGAGGCCTCCTAAGAAAATTGATCAAAGATAATGTTTCTTTTGTCAAATAATATTTTGTTTTGTAACCATAATTTTTAGTTTGTCAACAAATATTCCTAAAGACTAGCGTATGAGTATCAAAGCATTTCGGTATTTTTGTACCATGTCGAAACTCGGTCCAAAACTTTAGGGTAAGCCAGAGAAATTTTCCACCATGACTTTTTAGTACTATCAGCAGAACTATTTTCTTGTACACTACCCTCTTCATGCCTGTCCCCTGCGGCCATCATGGGAAGTAAAGAGCTAGCACCAAGAAGAGAAGCGACAGAATACGAAAATCCTTTAACTTGCTCGATCATTGCCCCTGCTCCTTTCAGTTCCCCAAATCTTAAAACTGTACCATCCACCGGACTAACCTAATGATAATTAACAGGTCATACATTTCAAACAAAGTTCTCAAAAATGAAAATTTTTTGGATGACTAAATGTTCAAGATGCCGGTTACCAGTTACCAGGCATTGTAAATCAGGGTCAATGGGCCTGCAACCATCCTTTAAGGAGCGTACGAAGAACTCGCGTAAAGAAGCATATTCATCCAAAGGAAGAGCTGCTTCTTCTAAATCTAAAATGTAAAACAGATAATAACTTTTAAGTGCTCTTCATTTTCCATCAAAGTACATATGTTCAACCTTGCAAATCTAAAATACCGAACGTGACATACAAACAAAACTTCACTTCAAAGAAAATGAAGGACTAAAGAAATTGAGATAAATAATCATACTTGAATGAAATGCCCGAGCCCATGCCCTATACACATATGGACGCAGCCAGATAGGAAGTTCCTAAACCAAATCAACATATCGTCACAATACAACGACAACACTACAACAGTAGATAAAAAGAAATAGAAACATGGAAACCATTTAAACTATTCCCATCTGATAAAATAGCATTGATTACAAAGAAAAGTCAATTTCTTAAGAGATGTTGCCCAAATATAGGTGAAATGGTAAAAATATGTAGTCCCAAATTTCCTGGTAATACAAGTAATGATAAATGAAGGATGGGTTTGTCACACAGTTAAACATTTGATAAGACAAATAAGGATTATAGTTTAAGATGCAAAGGAATGGATAGCTTGATCATACACAGGAACATCTTTAAATTAAAGAATAAAAATAGAAAGCTGAAAGCTGAAAGCGACCAAAAAATTATGGAAGGTTACTTACCACACTAGTCAATTGACCCCAACATCTTGAAACTAATCGTAGTGGTATCAATCTCAAAAACGTTGCCTGCAATTGGCAAGGAGAACACTAATACTAAATATGGAATTACATGGGTACAATGTATTTTCACAAATATTTGAAATCTATTACATCTTATTATCGCTATGTCAATCTTGTACCTTAATATCCGACCTGAACTCCGGCTCTATGCCCTTCTCACGTGCCTCTTCAACCTAAACAGAGACAGAGAGTTAAACTCCTGAAGGCTGAATCTGCAAATTCATCAATCTAAATCTTACTCCAACAATAAACGAAGTCGCCCAGCTGAAAATCGATGTCAGATGGCGATCGTTTTACAGAACACAGGAAATACACAAGCTAACATCATTCAGTAACAGGGAGAACCACCTTAAAATGTCCACCAATTCCTTCCCTAAAGGAATAAATAGTTAAAATAACTAACACTAACAGTATTTTGTAGATACCTTCTTATCATCATAGAGCCGACGAGCATGAAGAGCACCGAGCATCAACAAGGTAGCCACCGTCGCACCAGGCACCAAATAAGAATCACCTGCATGGACTTCGAATTCTTAACCTAAACTCGACTTACAGATGAAATACAATCGATCATGGAAAATTTCAAATCCAAAGTAGCTCATTTTGCAACTACATTAGCTACCACTACCTTGAGAACTGCCATTTCCACCGCCGATTGAAGCTCGAGCTTGTACGGAAGTTTGAATCCTTCTGAAGATGGAAGTGAAGCTTCTTCGAGTATGGTTTCGGACACAATTTAGGTGGCTGGTAGAAGGTAATATGAAAATTCTCTGCGGAGCCCTAAATTTCATCTTCGTTTTTCTCCTGAAAACTGCACTCTCTCGGCCAATTGAACAGCGAAAAAACAGTTGCTTTGCCTTGATTTATGAGAACTGTGGGTGGACTTCACAGTCGTGTTGGTAAGCTCTGAGTATGAAAAATTTCTCTACTGAAAACGCTGCTGGTGGAGGAAGAGAGGAAATATGAGGAGCAGAATAGAATTTTGGAATTTGCCACTTGGGCCCTAAATTTCACTATTTTTATGCTGTTGCCCAGTTTAAATTTTTCAACGGGCGTGAGCCGTGAGTTTCTCTGATTTACCATTTTTTTCGGACTTTTTTTTAATAATGTTTTATTTTAAATTTATTCCACATGTATACCATCCATCGAAATATTTTCAAAAATAATATTTAGAAAATTGAAAGTCTCTTCGTTTTGTGTCCCCAGTTGCATTTTAAACAAATTTAAATTTTCTCTAAAAACAACACATTTAAATAAATGTTACCTATTAAAATCTATCTTATCTACTAAAATAAAATAACTATTAATTTTAGAAAAATAAAATAATTACTATTAAAAAAATATAATTAGGTGTTTTTACTTTCAAATATTTGTAAATACTATAACTATGATATTGATATAATTCATTTCATTTACTTTAAAGTCAAGTTTAACAAAAATACAAAACACAGACTTAACAAACCCAGGTTTAACACCAACCAAACATAGAATTAACAAACCCAGACTTAATAAACTTATTTACTGCACCAACCAAACACAAACTTAACAAACCCAGACTTAATAAACTATGGCAAAAAACGAATCAAACACCCCCTTAAACAAAAAAGTAGATGTACGACCACTACACCAGAATAGTAATTATTTAGAATATTGGCATATGTCATCTCTTTAAGAAACAACATGCAATCATTGAAAAAAAAAAAACATGGCGCTAGCATGAAAAATGTGAATGTGGTTTTTTTTTCTCTTTCCTTCAAATTTTGTCATGCCTATTGAGAAACATATTTTCCTTCCATTGCAAAACGGTCCAAACGAGAATAAAGGTCGGACTGTGAAGAAACCCGGGGTCATCGACAACTGGGGTCGACCCATAACATAAGGGTCGGCCCATTTTTGAAAGTCGACCCACCTCGGCGCCGAGATGCCAAGATATCTTGGCCTTCTGGTCGGGAGATTACACGATCTCTCCCCAGTTCCTATGCCAACTGATTGATACCCTTGCTCGGTGTCAAGCCCAACAGTCTCTCTCTTCTGTTGTCTACAAAACATTGGGTCTTCACAACAATCATCTAGGGCTCATTAGAAGGTTCAGAACCTTCTAAGCGACTATAAATAAATCATGTTGCCTAAACCTAAGGTAAGCAAGAAGAAACCCCTAATTACTTTGCTCATCAACTCTCCTCTTGCTAATTTAAGCATCGGAGCCCTTGTGACAAAAGTCACACCGGTTTAGGTTTTGTTCGGTTTTGCAAGTATTCGGTCCCTTGATCATCGAGTTTGGTGCGAACATCGGAGGCAACCGGGAGAGCATAATTCACGCATCAACAATTGGCGCCGTCTGTGGGAACGATACAGTTCAAGCAAACTTAGCCGATGCGAAACCTATATCCGAGAAAGGTAGAATGGAGCAAGTCGACGTGAGCCCTGGTGGGAGCCAGCAACGTTTCGAAAAGAACAGCCTAAACGAAGCTGCCAACCACTTAGGGGAGCAAGCCCGAGCCTTGGTCATCGACTAAATCCCACCAGCCCAGTAGGGGAGAGCCGGTTGAGGAGGTGGAATCTATTCCTCTGACATCTGAGGATTGACGAGTTAACATTGGAACCAAGTTGGGGGAGGAAGAAAGAAAGAGCCTTATAAACTTCCTCAGAAGCAATGCCGACGTGTTCGCATGAGGATATGCCAGAAATTGATCGAGGAGTCATGGTACACCAACTCAACGTCGACGAGAGCTGTAAACCAGTGAAACAGAAGCGTCGTACATTCAACCAAGAAAGGAACGAGATTGTGGCTAAACAGGTAGATGAGCTACTGAAAGCAGGCTTCATTCGAGAAGTGCATTATCCCTAATGGATATCCAACGTAGTGTTGGTAAAGAAGTCAAATGACAAATAGAGAATGTGCATCAACTTTACAGACCTAAATAAGGCCTGTCCAAAGGATTATTTTTCCTTGCCTCTAATAGATCAACTGGTTGACGTTACCGCTGGACATGAAAGATTAAGTTTCATGGATGCCTACTCTGGGTATAACCAAATCAAGATGCATTTACCAGATTAGGAGAAGACCTCTTTTGTCACAAGCCGAGGTTTTATTGCTACACGGTAATGTCGTTCGGGTTAAAGAATGCAGGCGCAACCTACCAACGAATGGTTAATCGAATGTTTACAGCCTTAATCGGCAAAAATATGGAAGTCTACGTGGATGATATGCTGGTGAAGAGCCGAAAAGATAAACAACACGAAGAGGATTTGGCAGAGGCATTTGAAGTCTTAAGAAAGTACAAGATGAAGCTGAATCCTACTAAGTGTACGTTTTTGAAGTGACCTCAAGCAAGTTCTTGGGATTCCTAGTGCACCAAAGGGGAATCGAAGCCGATCCAGATAAGATCAAAGCTGTTTTGGAGATGGATCCGCCCAGAAATTTAAAGCAACTACAGAGACTAACCGGGAGAATAGCAGCGCTCAACAGGTTTGTTAGTCGCTCAACTGACAAGTGTCTGCTGTTCTTCAAAATCCTAAGGAATAAAGGGCAATTTGAATGAACAGAAGAGTGTGAGGCTGCCTTTAAAGAGCTAAAGCAATACCTGGGGGCAACCTCACTCCTCTCAAAGCCGATCGTTGGTGATGTGCTCTATTTGTACTTAGTTGCATCCGACACTACAATGAGTTCCGCGTTGATAAAAGAGGAAGATGAGCGACAATCTCCAATCTAATACAAAAGTAAAGCAATGGTAGACCCGGAAGTTAAATACCCACGAGTGGAGAAATTGACATTAGCACTGGTCACTTCGGCTCGGAGATTACGTCTGTATTTCCAAGCCCACAGAATAACTGTCCTCACCAATTTTCCACTTCGACAGATCTTGCAAAGGCCAGACACTTCAGGGCGACTGGTAAAGTGGGCCGTGGAGCTCAGCGAGTACGACATTCACTATAAGTCAAGAACTACTATGAAATGAGGGGCCAATTAAGTCATTCATGTATTTAAAAAGAAAATAGAGGTTTTACCTCTATCAAATTGATTTCCAAAATAAGGTTTAACTCTTTGACCGTTAACTTTAAAAATATTACCCGAGTTGTCTTCTAAGTCGATGGCCCCATGAGGATATACCTTCACAATTTTTAATGGGTCAGACCAACGGGATTTTAACTTACCGGGAAACAGTCAGAGTTTGGAGTTAAATAATAAAACCTTCTCACCTACTTGAAGGTGCTTGGGCCTTATTCGCCGATCATGCCACTGTTTTGTTTTTTCCTTGTACATTTGGCATTTTCGTACGAGAATTGCCTAAATTCTTCTAACTTGTTCAATTGGAACTTCCATTTTTCACTTGCAGCATTAAAGTCAAAATTTAGTTTTTTAGTGGCCCAATATGCTTTATATTCTATTCTATAGGAAGATGACAAGTGTTACCAAATACTAGACGAAAAGGAGACATACCAAAAGAGGTCTTGAAAGCAGTCTGATACGCCCATAGGGAATCATCTAATTTAATCGTCCAATCTTTCCTATTTGTATTGACCGTTTTTTCTAGGATAGATTTAATTTTCCTATTAGAGACCTCAGCCATGCCATTTATTTGTGGGTGTTACGCAGTAGCAATCTTATGTTAGACATTATATTTTGCTAACACTTTACCTACTGCCCTATTTACAAAATGTGTTCACTCGACACTAATTAGACATCTTGGAGTACCATAGCGAGTAAAAATATTTTTTTGCAAAATTGAATAACAATTCTAGCATCATTTACTGAAGTTGCTATGGCTTCTATCCATTTATACACATAATCGACAGCTAACAAATGTAAATTTTTACCAAATGACGGTGGGAACGGTCTCATAAAATCAATGCCCCATACGTCGAAAATTTCTACTTCTAAAATGGGGTTTAGAGGCATTTCATTTTTTTTTGGAAAATATTACCTACTCATTGACACTTATCACATACCTGGGCAAACTGGTGGACGTCTCGAAATAAGGTGGGCCAAAAGAAACCACTCTATAATACCTTAGTTGAGGTTTTTCAACCAGCAAAGTGCCCACCATACGGTGATGTATGACATGCTTCCAGGATTTTTGCTTGTTCCTCTTCAGCTGTACACTTGGGTAAGATATTATCAGGGCTTAATTTATAAAGATACGGCTCATCCCACCTATAGTGTTTTGCATCATGTAAAAATTTCTTTACCTGTTGTGAGTTAAACTCATAAGGAAAGATGTCACTTACCAAAAAGTTTGCAATATCCGCATACCATGGGATGTTATCAATACGAAGGATTTGCTCATCAATAAAGTGTTCCTTGATTGCTGATGGGTCTTTTGGGATAGTGGACTCTAGTCGAGACAAATGGTCCGCTACCTGGTTTTCTGTACCTTTCCGATCTCGAATCTCTAAGTCGAATTCTTGAAGAAGTAAAATCCACCGAATCAACCTTGGCTTCGCGTCTTTCTTAGCAAACAAATATTTTAAGACAGAATGGTCAGTAAAAAACAATAACTTTAAAACCTATCAAATAAGCTCTAAATTTGTCAAAGGCAAACACAACAACTACTAGTTCTTTCTCTGTGGTGGTATAGTTAAGTTGTGTTGCAGTTAAAGTTTTACTGGCATAGTAAAATGGATGCAAAATTTTATTTTTTCTCTGCCCTAACATGGCTCCTAATGCAAAGTCACTCGCGTCACACATTACCTCAAATGGTAGATTCCAGTCAGGTTCTACTATGATAGATGTTGAACTTATCCTAAGAGTCTCAAATGAATTCATGCATTCTTCATCAAACTCAAATGGCCTATCAATTTCTAGCAAACGACATAAAGGTTTTGATATTTTAGCAAAGTCTTTGATAAAAAGATGATAAAATCCAGCATGGCCCAAAAAACTTCGAATACCTTTAACTGACGAGGGTGGTGGAAGTTTTGAAATTAACTCAATTTTCGCTCGATCTACTTCCATTCCTTTGTTTGAGATTTTGTGAC